AATTCAAATAATTTTCTGAATTTTACTGTCATATTTAATTCAATGCAACTGTTAAATGATACAGCAAATGAAATGATAATGTATTCATAATCAAGAATTTTAATCTCATATTTACCATTGATTTAAATTATTTAACGTAGAAATATAGTTTTGCCAAAGCGGCTTAAAGTCGTCATAATAAATAATTATATTAATTAATTAAACATTTGCTTAAAGCTCAGCTGCGAACATGTCTGATGTCTGATACCGGAGAAGCACACACACACACAGCCATACAGCCATACAGACACACATTCAGCAACCGCAACTTGACGGCCTGCCACTGTGTGCCGTGTAAACCATATTGCATATCCTGCCCCACTGCAGCACCTCCTGCTGCTAGTGCTGCTCCAGTTAGTGCTGCTGCTGGCTGAACGTACGTTGTACATGTCGCTGGCACGCTTCGTCTGTGAAGACTGTTTAAAACATTTAAACATGGCCAGCTGATGATCCACTGTCTGGACTACGAACTTTCACCGGCCGCCGCCAGGCAGTGGCTAAAAGTTTGTCACGTCAATCAGTCAGTCAGTCGGTCGGTCGGTCGGTCGGTCAGTCATCATCGCATGGTCAACAACTAACGCATGCCATATCACATCACAGCCAGGCTGCCAACTGCCGCGAGTCTCGACAAATCCAGCCATGTAAATATGAGGTAGGCATAATATGTATGTGTTGGCTTCTTTTTTTAATCTGTGCGGAAACTCAACTCTGGCTGGCAGCTCATTTTAGAATGATGCTTGTTTCGTTGCTAAATACCCTGTACCTCGAAAGGGATATAAATAATCAAAGAATAGAAGTGAAAAGACTAGAGTTGAATTTATTAGGATAGGATACTTTGTGAATAAATGCAATAGGAGTATATTGGGTTTGATATTCCCCGATGATTTTATATACTCACTAATTTCATTTAACATTTATCATTCGCCCAGGTTTATAGACGTTTATCAAATGTATTTTTAGACTGTCCAATTCTAACATGATTTTTCTAGTATATATAGTTTATTGTGCATTATTTATTGTGTGTAATTTAGTGTATAATTTTATGTGTGTGTTCCATACATTTATGTTTGCATTGTATATGAATATTAGTGGAAAAATTGGAAGCGTGCAGTATCTCCAGCCTTGATTAGAGGATAACTTCTAGTCGAAAACCCATGCGCCAGAGTACTCCCCCTTCAGTTTTTGTTATTGTGCGGTTGCCGCATTTGCTGACCACATTTTAGCTTCATTTACAGTTATTTGCCGCATTGTCTCATCGGGTATTACGTGTTACGGCCCTTCGCATAGATACCTGATACGCACTTGTTCGAGTTGTCCGCCCAACTACAACTGGAACTTGGCCCACACGCCGAAACCGCAAATTCAATTTTGGTTTGCAGGCTACAACGTTTGTTTAAAACGCTTTGTTAATATTGTCGTTGCTGTCGTTGTTGTTGTTGATGGTGTTGTTGTTGATGGTGTTGCTGTAGTGTCCCTTTGATGCAATTTATGTGAAGTGTTTTACATGTTTTGTTTGCCTCTAGCCGCAAACGATCTTTTGTGCTATAAATCAGACGGCGAAATGAGAATCGGGGGTGTACTTGCATTTGTATTTGTTAACTCTTTGAACAGCTGCACTGCTTACCCGTTGATTAAAGTTAACGTCTGAAATTTAAATTCAAGCATCTGCACTGCTTGACATGGAGCTCCCAGTAGAAGGATTTGAATGTAAACTGCTTGTTGGCTGCCCCGATGAGCAGATTTAGTTTGTATGTAATTGACTTCTGAATACCCTATACAATAAATTAGATTAGTGTTTGTCTGATTCACGGTTTACTTGAACTCACTTGACTCAGGCATGTTCCTGAGACTTACTCCCTTTTTGTTTTTTCTTATCCTTTTTCACTTTCTTCTTGAGTGGCTCAGGTTTTGGTGGCTCTTCATCTTCCTCCATTGGCTCACAAAAACACACATTCCCCGATACAGATTTGATCTCTTCATTTTGATCAAATAGCTTCGGTAGCTTCGGTAAGTGTTTGAAGAAATCTGTAACGGCAGTTGTGTTGACTTCAAAGGGTGGTACTTGCTCGGCTTGGAAATTTTGCAGCCAAACATCGATGTGCTCATCAGGATTATAGGGCGATACTTGAGTTTGTGGTGGCGAAGGTTTATTCATCTTCCGCTTTTTATCATATAGCTGAAAGATATCTTCAATCAACTTATTCTCCATTTCCTTATCGACAACTGCATCGGTTTTCGTATTGCAAGTTCTGGCGGATGTCCATAAACTAAATTCTTCGGACATGAGCTTTGAGAGCAAATCCTTCTTTCGGTCGACCTCGTTGGAGAAAAACTGAATGCCCTCTTTTTGCTATGAAATAAATAAGTTAGATATTGAAATATTGAAACAGAGCCTACATATAGACTCCCAACATAAAAATAAACAATTGTTAAATAAATACAAAATGTTGCTTAATGAGTAAGCTCAAAAATAATTATAAGCAGTTCGATTACTTGGATATATTCCATCACACCATCTATTTCTTTTATGGGTGACAATGGGCTGTCCGGAGATGTGTCACGGGAGCGTTTCCGTTCCGCCGGTAACTCGTCTGGCAATGAACAATCCTGTTCCTGATTATCCTGTTCAAGTATCGGTTCGGTTAGTTGCGGATTTGGAACTTTTTCCAAGTTTAGCTGTTGACTGTCAGCTTGTAGATCTTGTTGTTCAAATTGTTGTTGATGTTGATAACGTTCGGGCGACCTTTTGACTTGACCGATTCCTCCAGCTCGGCTATTTAAATCTTGGCATTCAAGTTGCTTTTGCTGCTGTTGAAGATGCCACGGACTTATGTCTTCTTGGTCATTGCGTGGCTTTTGCTCCATATAACCCATAAATCTAGGCTTCTACAGAAACTCATACAGTAAGTAGTATAGTATAAATGGTATAGAATAGAATATTCAAATATTACATCCCGGCTGAGCAGGGCATCTACAAAAATACCAACCTGTCGTGGAAGCGGCTCTGGCTCACAAAAGACTGAATTATTTGGTCTATCGCCTGGTATCTGGTCCAACTGCACGCTCCCTATGGAATAATCGGCGGGCTTCAAGCGTGGAATTCGTAGAGCCGATAAGGAATCCGAAATAACAGGCTGCTGCACCAGCGCCGACCTCAGTGGCGGAGCTTTGATTGGGGTATTCATATCAGCCTTTCGGAACACAGCTTCGACCTTTAAATACGGATCACAAAATATACATCATTCTTCATTTACGGCAATCTGCACTTACATTTGAAATCGATACGTGTGGGGTAAAGTCGTCTAGCATCCACTCCATGAGTTCCTCGTAAATTCTTTGCCATTCGTCAGAGCTGTATCTGTGGACACCCGCTTGTGTGATAATCTGATTCCACAAACGATTTATCTCGGTTCTAGCAATTTGTTCAATCTCCATTTTGGCTATATATTTCTCGCGAAGTTTAAGCTCTTTTAATATTTTTTGTAATGACACAACTCAGACTTGCTAAACGTGACATTTAAACCTCGGCAGAGCTGATTGAAATAAATAGAAAAGCTATTAGCACTAACCAGAGAAGCTATTAGTGCTATTAGCTTTTCTTTATCGATTACTTTCACAATCGATAGTTTTTAAAATTATTTTAAATCCAATAAAACTCACTTCTGTATGATTTCATATATATACATATATATATATATATATATATATTTATTATATAATGGGAATTGATTTAATTAATATTGTTTTGCCTAGCTACAGATGAAAACTTCATATAATGTATGTATAACAATCAATAATTTTTTGCTCTCGCTAGTATATTTCAAGTACATATGTATATGTAATAATTTATTACAAACACTATTCCATTTTTACATTCGTAAGCAGCAAACGAAATGTTCATATATGTATATATATTATACATATGCTATATGCTATTCGCTATTGTATAAATATTTGATTTGTTAATTTGAAATATGAAAACTATTAATTCAAAATTTGTATACGCGTTGCTTACTTGAGTTTCTCTTTATATCTTTAAACATTATGGTACTTTTGATTTATTTGAGAGTAGAACATTTTGATTAGTATAGTGTGTATGCGGGAGCAAGTATATATATAGTATTATCTAGATAAACAAAAAACAATGACGATCAATTGTGGAATGCAATGAATTTGGAAAAAAAATCTATGATTTGGGAGATCTACAATTATGTAGTCCTCAAATACTATGAGTTAATAGGTTTGGCCAATTAATTTGATAGTTAGCACACGGATTACAACAGCAATGCATACATAAATACATAATAATAGTCGTACATAATACGTATAGTTACTAGCATTTAGTATTTTGATATGATCATGAATCACAACAATATGTTCTCAATATCTGTTGAATATACAATGTTTTTTTTTTCTTCTTTTTAGTTTGATGTAATATCAATTTTGATTTACATGGTTACCTACACAGGTAGCAATATACTCATTTGATTTACTCGCTTGTAAAATAATTAACAATGTGCTATATATTTAAAAATTGCTGCTTTTGAAGACCTAGCAATGATAATACAAAAGTAAAAGTAAAATCAAAACAATAAAATCGATTTCAAGATACTTTTTTGTAAAGGGAAAACATTCTTTGGAACGATAGCAAACATCAGCTTAAAAATATAAAACCAATACAAATATATGGTACAGTTAGTAATAGTATAATAGTATATAGTCGAACTATGTACGTAAGTATATGACGACGAACGGCAACGTGAATAGTGTCCGTGTTTAGTACGGCTCAGTCTTCTGCTAAACTCAACGCAATGTATCGATGATAAAAGCGACAAATGACTCGAGGACGTCTCTGTTTGGCATTGGCATTGACTAAATCGCATACTAGGCCTAGGCATTATTGTTCTCGCCGCAGCATTGTATGCAGTCCATGCAGTTGTGCTACCTATTTCCATCATTCTTCCGGGTCATATTCGATGAGGTCAATTGTATCTACAAAACGAAAGATATAAATTAGACGTGGACCTTCAAGAATGACACGGGATATACATGCATCGAATAGTTAGGTGTATCTGTGTGTAGGTGTCATTAGAAAGATTCATGCGTGCTATTAGTGACTGACCTTTAGTCCTTGCATTATTATTTGTGGTATTCTTAAGGCTAACGTATTTCAACTTCTCACGCAAAACAACAAGTACATAACGTGTAAAACGACAAAAACGTACGAACAACATTTAGACGTGTACAGATAGACAAATAGACAGTTAAGTGAGTGTGGATCTTTGTGTCAGTGCAATGTGGCATTGTCGAAGACAATTGAAAATATACCTGCATGGAGCGTATGGTATCTAACAAGGCCTTCTTCTCTTCTAGCAATATGCTAATATCATCTTGTGCTGCCTTCAAATATGAACGCAGAACATCCGTTTCCTGTCTGGTCTTTTGCCTATTTGGATATTCGAATAGAATTTAACATTTCCTTTAACGCTGCGAAATGTCAAACTTACCTGTAGTTCTCTGTGTTCACCTTGGAATCGACAAGCTGCTTACGCATCTGCTCGTTGTCAAGCTTCATTTGCTGCATAACCAGTTGCATGGAGAGCAGCTCACGATCGCGCTCGCGTGCTGTGCCACGCAAGGCGCCGTTTAAAGTCTGCTGCTGGTCAGCGCTGATGTTTGTATCTGCAAATATGGCAAATATGTACACGAATCTTAGCTATGCCGAGTTAGTTATAAACACACCTATGGGCTGTATGTTGAGCTGGCCAGTTTTGTCGCGCTCCAGGTGCATGCGTCCAATACACAAGTTAATGGGCACTGGACCCGGCGAAGTAATATTGACAGGCGGACGATCTTCCAACAAATTGATTCGCACGTTTTCCAGGTATATCTAAAATATTAAACAAATGAGTTATAGGCATTTTAGGTAAAACAACAAGCTTACCGAAACGGGCATAGGCGGCGTTATTATCTCGTCCTCAGCCAGATCAGCTAGCCCAATCACTGTGCTCATGGACAAGTCCATATTAATGTCCTTCACGTGTATTTCGGCATGATGCGTAAACCAGCTGTGAATATCAAAGATAAAATAAAAGCAAATGAGACATTGTTAATCTGCAATCTATGAACCACAAATACCTACCTTTGTATGCGCTTGCGATCAATCAATCCATCAATTTTCTTGGGCATGTTTAGAGTCTCTTCGAGGCGCAGTTTGATGCAGGGCGGCGCTTCTGGATTGTAAGGCGCCAGATTCCAGGCCTTACAGCGTGCTCCAAACTTTGTCTGCAAGTGAACCGCAAAATGAATCAATGTGCCCCCATACCATGCATAATACTTTATTAGTAGTTCAACTCGCATGCATAAGAATCACTACAAACATGCAAAGCAGTAAGCACTTACGCACATGCAGCCTGATGTGAACGTATGTGGGTGTAAGTGGGTGTGAGTGGGTGTGAGTGGGTGTGAGTGTGTGTGGGTGACAGATTGATGTTATGTTTATACTAAGAAGCAGAGTTAATTTCAGTTTTAGTAGTTGTCATTAGGGCTAAGCAGCGTGTTTATTTAGTGTTTAGGTCTTTAGTTTGGTAAACCGCCAATTGTTAAACCAAAGGTACGTTTCCAGTTAGTGTTGTTATTGTTGTTTTAGTTGTTTCTCATGGTGATCTTTGTTTCGTATACGCCCAGCTGAGATGTGAACGCCTGCAAACCTAAGTGTAGTTATGACCAAGCCAATTCGCAAAAGAAAACGCAACGAGAACTTAAAAATATAAACAAAACTTAAAACTGGGTACTACAAAGTAAAAATTGACTAATTAATCAGTAATTTATGCACTATTTAAATCGTTAAGTACCTGCAAAGACTTGCAGATATAGGCATCGGGGCGCATGAGCAGGCATGCTTAAAAAACATTCGTATTAAATAATAAACAATTTCAACCAAAAGAAGCTGCCTACATTATTTCAGACCTTATATTAACTTGTTGAGTAATTGCATATATATTTATATATATGTTAGAACATATAACCCGTTCAAACTAGCGCTTATTCGTATAGTATAACTAATAAATATTTAACTACTGTAACTAGTGGCCAAAAACGCTTTCAAACTGCAGCAGCGCTGGCAACAGGAGCCAACACCAAAAGTTAACTACAGAGAAATATCAAATAAAACTTGTTGAAAAATGTAAACATTAAATTAAAAGGGCATTTAAATATTTGTTAATAAGTATATACAAAAGCGGCATAAATCATAAACAAATCAAGTTAGCTGTTAATAGAGAATTTCAATTTTGTAGTTGAGCTTTTTTCTATACCTTGTTCGCTTGATGCGCGATCTGTTTTGTTGTTGTTGAAGAGTGTTGGTTGTTGTTGTAGTAGTTGTAGTTGTTGTTTTAGAAAATGTGTCATGTAAATGTTGTTGTCGTAATTCAATTTACAGTGTTCGTTGTTGTTTATAGAGTAAATTAAACGTTGAGCACAATATTCGTATTTAATTAGCACACATTGAGATCGATTTTTGTTTGATTTTTGTTTTTTTTTTTTTTTATGAAAATATATACGGTTTTTAGAGAAAAGAGAAAATATAATGAGAAAATGATTATATATGAGAAGTTTATCTTACAGTAAAATGTATTACTAAATAATCATTGAAATCAATTGTTTCTCTGAGCGTAAAAACTTTGTTAGATATTCAGTAGAGATTGATCGGAGCATGCAGAAAACGTTATGAAAGTTTAGGCAAAAAACATTTAATAAAGTTTCAGCAAAAGTTTGAAATAAATCATCTTAGAATTGAAAACACAACGAAATGATTTGCTTATATACAAAACTCAAATCGTATAAAAGAGAGAAAAGAATTGTGTAGACATAATAATAAAAAAAAAAATGTTCAAAATAGATAAACAATTAAAGGTCAAAATCTTACGAACCTGCAACTCATCCCAGGGTATTGCGCCGCATTCATCACAGGACACAGCCGACACCTGCAAACGCACCGAGGACTTGGGACCCTCCTGCTGGCGTATGAGCTCCACTGTGGTTAATCTACATTAAAATAAGAATAAAACAGAAATGAATTGCATGAGTCGCTGAATTAAAAACCAACTCGAATGCAATTGCAACCTAAAGGTGGCCATGGAGACTAGATCCCGTCGCCGCCAAGTGCTAGCTTCTGAGGGCTCTGATGGGGAGGACATGTTTGTCTTGTAGCTGCTCGGCTCCTCGTAAACCTCGCTGGCCACCTCGACGGGAGAGGCCTTCATGTTGTTGTCGTTCGTGAATGGATTGAGTCGGAACATAACGTCCATGCAGTCCATTGTCTTGTCATCACCCATTACGATTGCGAAATTCTCCGAATCGGAGCTAATGTCGCTCTGTACGGAAAAGGTATCACTGGCATCATCATTGGGCGTTCCGGACTTGATGGCCGAGTCAATGGAAGTCATGAAACTAGAGAAGCCCTTCTTCATGGACATAAGACTGGAATTAATTTCCTTGGTAATGCTAGGCACAGCGTCGCTACCCGTGCCAGGGCGCACTGTGCTCTTCAAGCTCTTCGAGGCAGACGATATTGATTGCGATTGCATGGAGATGCCAGTGTCAGGCCGTGAGCCCTGACTTGGCGTAGAGGAAGCCAACGTTGGGGTGCTCTGAATTTGTACGTTGTAACTAGAAATATAAAATAAATTAGACCAAGGGCAAATAGCTTTCAATTGGATAAGAACTAACCCATGTGTATTTGGATTGGATATATGAATGCCACTATCAAAGGGCGGATCATTGGTTACGGGCGATGGAGTCTCGACGCTGCCAAACGTATTGCTCTTCAGTTGATCCAACGGCGGTGGCGTGGGCCACGTTATGTTGCCGCCTGTGAAATCGGTGACTGGTTTATACAAATCGTGCTGAGAGTTTTAGCATATCGTTTATCTTTTACAATAATTGATAGTTAGTCACTAATAAGCTGTTGCGTTAGTTTAGTACAAAACATGCGAGATTATTTATGGGTTGAGTATTCTAGCAAGCCGCATAGAATTTATTATCGATAAGAAATGATTTATCACATTACCACAAAGCGAATTGTGATAAGATCTAAAAACAATTCTCATGTTTGAAAAATAAGTTCCATTAGGCCTTCAGAAAAACTTGCCCATTATTTGAAGGTTAACAATAAGTGACTTGGAATCCTACGTGTAAGATCCTACAATTTGGTAATTAAAGAGTTTCTTAAGAATAGATAAGCAAAAGTACAGCATCAGATGCAAATAATCAAATGAAAACCAAATGAAAACAGTTCCTAAATGGGGATTTGAGAGGGGCGGTGTGTTAGACTTATTAAGAAGCTCTAATCAGTGAGAACTACTTGTGAGATTTTGTTAGTAGTATGCTTTGTTTCGTGATTATGTTAGAGATCGAACAGATCAGAGACAGTTCTGTGGTTAGTTTGGTTAACGCTAGCGCTTAGTCGATAGATTTAAAACTAAAGAGTTTTTGAAAGAGAGACAACAAAAGATATATAATTCTTACTATTCATGTGTAAATCATCACCCAAACTAGCTGAATCGGGTAAGACACTTTCAGCATCACCACCACTCGATTCCTTACCAGGTGTTGGCGATGGCATCACCAGCGTCACCTCAATCTGTGGCACAACACATCCAAATATGATGGACTTTTGTTGGTTTTGCTGTAGATTAATGAAAAAATACAAGTTTAATATAAATTATTCCTTCTTAATGGCCGCTGACCTACCTTTTGCAAGATGCGCTCCGCATCGAGATTAAGGAACGTGGACATTTCGTTAAACTCTTCAGCCAGACGCAGCAGGAACAGCAATTGAAAGTGATCTATTTGCAAGCTGACCAAGTTCGATATGTGAGCTATCGCATGTATATCGGCGCAACGTTCGACGGGCGTGGCAGCCTCTTCAGCCGGTGGCGGCACAACGCGCACATCCTCTTCGCTCAGGAAGGGATTGCGCGGCAATGGTGGCAGCGTAGGCAATGGCGTCAGTCCCATGCTCTCCATCTGTGAGCTGGTTGTGCTCTGACATTTGCCCACGTCCAACTGTGCCTGTGCCTGTGTGGCGCTTCCAGAGTGCAGCCAGAGCGTGATGGGCACCGCATCCACAAACGGTATGGCTTTATTCGGGCCTAGCGATCGGGCACCAAGAAAGTCCACCCAAATGGGATCCAATTTTATGCACCAAACATCGCGGGGCTCCGACCACATTGCGTAGCGCGATAGATACTGTGTGGATGCGGATCGCGGCATCTGCGCCTGCGTTGGTGACATCGGCGCCGACATCATGCTAACATCCGAGGCGGCCACATGCGACAGAATGCGATCCGTGACGATGCACATGTCACCCTCGACGGAGGGAAAGCCGGAGCCGAATACCAGCGAGCCCTCCTGCAGGGAATGCAGTGCCTGGGCCAAATCAGCACGCGAGCTGCCCATCTCGCGTATGTTGGTCAGGGCAAAGCGAGAAATCTGGATTAGCATCGTCTTGGGGCGATCCTTTTGATTGGGCGCATCCAGCGCCGCTTCCATGACCACGCGCGGCATTATAGCCTCCACCTTGACATCCATGTACATCAGATTTGGCTCCTGTTCCAAGCTCAGCGCAGCGGCCATCTGTGTGCCATTGGAGCCATACGAGGTATTGGAGGCAATGGAGCCGCGCGTGCTCTGCGGCTGTTGCTGCAGCGTGGTCTGGGAGCCGACGCTGGTGCGCAGCAAACTCTCGTGCAGATTCAAACCAAACGAATTCAGCCACAATATCGAGCTCAGATCAAAGTGCACCTGCAGCGGATTAATGTGCACGAACATCTTTGAAGGCGGCACTGCAAAATAACAATGCTCATTAATTGCACTCAAACAAATCATTTTAGTTTAGTCAAGCACTCACGCGGAAATACAAAATCGCCGGGATAATAGAAATACGTGTACTCGGCATGCACTATGGGCATCTCGGCGGGAAACGAGTAACGATCCTTATCACCTGTAAACAGAGGTGTTTGTTAGTTTAGCTTAGAACCATTTGTTTATTCCAACTCAAATTACAAATAATACACACGAACTGTTTTTCAAGGGACCCAATCAAAAGATCATACACTGTCCCAACTGCTAAAGTTTCGTTTAGTTTAGTTAGAGTTAATGAAGAGGCTAATGCAGTGTCGATCTGTTCAATTCGGTCCCTGTCTTAAGGCGCAATGCTTGCGTGATATTCACCTGAAGATTTGGTTTTCCTCTTATGTTGTGCTACATTAACAACAATAACAACAATAACAAACAACAAAAGCGTTTTGCAAACGACGCAATGAGATGAGATGAGATGTCATGACGGCAAATGAGAATCATGTGAATTGTGTGAAAAGTAACGTAACAAAAGGAACAAGCAGAGAGAACAAGAGAAAGATAAATTAGTTTAAAAGAAAATGCTGTGTAAGCGCAATAGGGGAGTGTCTGTGGTTACGTATGGCTGTTAGGTGTGGGAGTGTGTGGGCGTGTCTGTGGATGTGTGTATTTTATGCTGTAATGCAATTGCATAAACTCTGATGTACGTCTATATACCGTTGACGAGAATATTTCATTGTTACAAAATTTGCTTTTTTGTGTTTACAGGAAAATCTGTTAAAGCTGAACTTTTACTGTTTTACTTTACTATATCACTATATGATAATAGCTTGATAGTTTGTTAAAAATAATTAATAAATAAGTGCCCAGAGATGAATTAAATCCAAAATAAAACTTGTCTAAAGGAGTATTTCGTAAAATAATGTTATTTTCTCATTAGTCTGGGACTGCTAAGAACTGTTACTGTAATTATGTCAACACTTTAACAGTTCTGTTAAGCGACTTTGTACATCAGGTGTGAAGTGTCTACAATTTGTTTGTGTTTTGTGCAGGTGTTCAGAGTCTTGCAATTAGTTCTTACCTGAGACAAACTCTTTGGGCATTTGCTTTTTGCCCGACGTAGTGACTCGATAGAGTGTAAAGTCCTCGATTCGCAGTATGACACAAGCGCTCATTAATTTGGCCAAGTTCTCCAATGTGTTGCGCTGCTGGGCTGCCTGAGTATATTGACTGCTGGCCGAGGCATTGCCGGAGCCACCGGCCGAGCTTGAGCTGCCGGCAGCCGCTGCTGCAGTGGGCGTGCTGCTGCCATTCGAGCCAGTGCCAGTACCAGGGCCGGGACCAGCGCTAGCGAATTGAGAATTCAGCAGCGATGCATTCAACATAATGGGCGAAGCAGGCGCGCTGCGTTCCAGCGGTGCATGCGTGGCCGGTCTATTGGGCTGGCTAAGATTCAGCACTGCCTCCCGGAATGCATTCAGCGATTCTTTGAGCCAGAGCGCCGGTGCCACCGACGCCTCCTTGTACTTGGCCCAGTGCGAGCGGTCCGATTTGGCCAAATGATAGGGATAATAGTCCACCTGAAACGCCGTCACAGACACCTGCAGAGCACCACCTTTGTCCAGCTCCGGGTAACTCGAGCGCCCATCGCCCTCATCGTCGCACAAGTGCAGATCGATGCGCTGACTGAAGAAATGATACGAGGTCTCGCGCACATCAAATGCATTGAACGTCCGCTGTGCCGTCGTCAGATGCACCGATTCCGAGAGACGATTCTGCTGCTGCGCCACCTGCGCCTGGTATTCGGGCAGGGTCTGAATAAAGGAGAAAGTTAATTGAATTCGAATACTCTTAAGTGGACGTTCGACTCACCTGAAGCTTGCGCGCAGCTTTCGTCTTCTGAGTGGCATGCGTGGCGGCCTTTATCAATCCGGAAAGTGAGTCAACAAAATGCAGCGCTGCCTTCAGCTGTGAATCGGTCAGCACCCACAGCAGATCGTCCAGTATGAGGACCAGACGCGATGCCAGCAACGTGCAATCCGCCAAGCGTTTGCGTATCGTGATGCGACAGCGCGCATGGTTTGTGAGCAAACGCAGCGGGGTCAATGATTTATCCTGAGTGGAACTGGCCTCGATGCGCACCGTTTGCCAGGAGAGCTCTTTGAAGATCAGTATAATGCCCTTCTGGCCATCCTTTAGCCGTGTCAGACGCAAATCGGCATTGGCCCACTTTGGCGTCTTGGACTCGACGCGAATGCGCGACATTTGCACCGAGGCCGTAAAGGCGGCGCTCACAAAATTCACATTGACCGTGTTCACCACAATGGTGATGCCGTCGACGACCTTGTGTATGAAGCTGTATTTACCCTGAGGCACTTGTGGCAGCGCTGCGGCGGTAGCGCCAGCATCGCGCGTCATGGGGTTGCAGGTCTCGATGGTGATGCGTACCTCGTCCAGCGTCTATGGAAAGCAGAATCCAATTACCATAACTATATTAGATAATAAATGGAAAAGATGCTGCACTTACCAGCGTTATGGGCACGCTTTTCAGCTTGGTCCAGCTAATGCGAAACGAGACATGATTGCACCAGGCTGACGTCAGGCGCAGCCAACTGGGCAGCTCCAACAGCTCTGTCAGCACGCGCTCATCCAATTCCAGATTGTAGAGCTCACCCTCGCCTCGAAATGTGCTCAAATTGATTTTGTCCGATGATAGGTTCTTCGTGTAGCTATTAGAATGGGGTAATGTAATAGACTATATTAAAAGCCGTTTATTTCAGTTATCAGAGCTGTCACCAACAAGTGGCGCCAGTGACCCGTCGGTTGCCATCAATTGACCCATTTCAAGTAAACGTCTTTCAAGTAAATGCCTCGCATGCATAATTGAAAACTAAATATTGATTGAATCGACGCTGATTTGCCTGCTCAAGCTCAACAAAGGAGATGTCTGTTTGAGTATCAAATGAATAAAGAGTACTTAAATGCAAATTTATGTTTTAACACTTTAAATTGATTGTAAAATTGTAAAAAGTTGGATTTTATTCATACTATATTCTTGAACTCAACTGTATGTCTTAAATATTCCTAATTTCTCATGAGCTATAGATATGTATTAGCTGTTATTTAATAGATATGCCAGCAGAATGATTGATAAACTCTTGGTGTTATATGGAAAGCAATCAGATAAGATTGCATAAAAAGTTATTTACTATATATACTTTTATATCAGCCAAGTTACTTAGCAACGATATCTATTTCTCTCTCTCTCTCTCTCTCTCTCTGTCTCTCTCTCTCTCTCTCTCTCTCTCTCTCTCTCTCTCTCTCTCTCTCTCTCTCTTTTGGATTTGAATGTCGTTAATTTTAAATTAAGCGCCGTTGAATGCCACAACTAATTTCAGTCAAATTTTATAAGCTGCTCCTTAAGTTAATACCCATGTATTTATTATCTATTTATAAGTAATATATATTTACTCAAGTATTCCAATGAAATGCTTTGAAAGTGCCAGCTTAAAAGTTTGTAATGCTGAAAAGTTTATTTGAGGTACAGCAGAAACTTTTTACTTAAAGGAGCTGCTGCTTATATTTTTGTCAAATGGGCGGGGGCGGGGATGATATGTGAGGGAGATAAGAGATAAAAGGCAACAAGTTTGCATTGCATTAACATTTAAGTCCCACCATAAAGTTAGTTTGTTTGCAGCTTAATTGTGTGTAAATAAAAAAGTAAAATAAGTTTTAGGACAACAATAAACTGAGCCACCAGGGCGAAAACGAAAGTGAGCCTTTTATCGCGTGAATACACACACTCAGAAATAAGTAAATGTTGATTTAGACAGGCATATGTATATGTATATATCTTTATATAGTGTAAGTATTTATAAGATAGAATGAACAGAAAGAGAAATCCGAATAGGTTATATGTAAATGAGAAGCTGGAAGAGGGCTCTAAGACGCCCTTAATCTACAAACCTTATCATTAAAACAAACTACATAACTGATAAGGTCTAGCATTTTTTACATTGTAAACTTTTACATGCATATTCCAATGATAACTAAACAATGATTTCCATCTAAAAATCAATGAAATTTTCGCTACTGTATAACTCTTATTTACCAAGCTGACAATATTTATAACATATTTATTTCAAATATATACATACATATATACAGAAATATATTTGCAATATGCTCACACATAAACATATTGAATCGCCTGCCTATACGGGGAGTGAGTTAAAAATGTTTATTAATTAAAAGCTTATATTTGTTGATAACAGCTGTGAGCACGAAGTGGAGATGCGGGAGAGAGAGAGAGAGACTGGGAAACGCAGTCATTCACTTGTTACTCTTAGAAGGCAGAGGGGGCAGCCGATTAACAAGCGTCCCCTTGTGCATGTGCTGAGAGGCTGCAAAAATCTACACACACACACACACTCAGCAGAACGGCAGACCAATACACGCAGGGAAAACGACATTAAAGCAACAACAAGAACAGCAACTAAAACACAGCAACAGCAGCAGCAGCAGCAGAACTTGGAAAAATCAATTTAATTTCCCACAGCAACTGGCGCCGGAGCAACCGAGCAAGCGACCAACCATTGCAAGGCCATAATTAGCATAGAGTTTATAATTCAATTTCATGCTAACTCGTTTATGATGACACTTACATGGACAAATGCTTGAGCAATTGGTTTTTTATCAACGAGACCATTTTGTGACGTCAGCGGAGAGGCGGCGGGCGAGATGCGATTAACAGATCGAATGCACTCAGCCAGCAGCAGCAGCAGCAGCAGCCAATGATAACGCTTTCAATAAATCTCGCAGCTATTTAATGCACACTTAACACATTCTTTCGTTATACTATAGAGGCACAAAGTGAGAACTTGTACTTTTTGCTTTGTATTGGAATTGGTATTCCCTATTGGCGCAATGGCTTCGTTGCAAGCCGTTACCGGGCGTTACGCATACACAAGAGTTTTCGGCATTGGTGAATTTAGACTACGCGCGAATTAGTCATTATTTTGAGAATATTATTTTTATAATTAACAAGTCTTATCGCGAACCTTTTTTTGCGTGCACCCGACGCAGAGAGATACTGTTGACTAGAGATGCGCACAGCCTATGTACCTGTGACTTGTTCTCTGTGACTGGGAATTTAACTGTTGCTGCCTTATTTACAATCTTCGATGGAGAGAGAGAACCCGTGCAAATTTAGGGATGAATACGATATACGAATATATATATAACCAGAAATAGCAGTTACAACATACTCTCTTCTCTATATTATATTTATATATCGATAGCATCGATTACTCTGTGCTGTTTAGTCTCAAACAATACCTTACCTATTTTCGAACGCCTTACAGCACTACAAGCTTGCATACATTTGCATTTGACATCTAATAAAAGTTTAAGTTTTTGTTTGAAGTGTCTGCTTAGAGCATTATACGTAAAATCTACAAGCTTCTAAATTTAAGAAATCGCTAAGGTCCATTTGATTCGCTGCACCGCAATGTCGAGTGGCAATGCAGCAACAACAGACGAGCTAATCGAGCGCGTGGTGGAAGTGACTGCTTGCACTCCGGAGGAGGCCAAACACTATCTTGGCGCCTGTGCCAACGATGTGGCGGCAGCCGTTGCCTTGTTTTTCGAACAAGGTGGCAACGGCAACAGTGCCACCAATGGCGCTTCCACATCTTCATCCACGGCGGGCGCTGCAGATGAGGACGAAGTGCGCGCGCCCATTGCACCAGTGCGGGAGCAACTGATTCTACCGGAAGATGATAATTTTTTTGCGTCTGGCAGCAGTAATAACAGTCGTATGTCTCGCGTCTCACAGCGAGTTAAAGTTTGCCCACTGCGTGACTTTGCACGGGAGGGCGCCTTAATGGAGGAACAGCTTCAAGCCACTGGCGTTTACTCCGATCCGAGTACACATCGTCGACGCCGCGAGCGCTCGGCCCAAATGGTTGTAGCCGGGCAAGCCATGTCGTTACAGGGCCGCTCAGGTGGCAGCACTTCATCCCGCCTTGGTGATCTCTTCCGCCCGCCCACAGATATTCTATACTCGGGCTCCCTGGCAGCGGCCCGTGAATTTGCCAGCAAGCGCGAGCGCTGGCTGCTTGTCAACGTGCAGGGCGACAATTTTCAATCACAAACAATGAATCGTGATGTGTGGAGCAGCAAGGAGCTAAAACAACTGGTACGACGACAATTCGTGCTCTGGCAGGTGGACAACGATAGCTCGGAGGGACGACGGTTCGTGGCCTTCTATCACTGTGCCAAGCTGCCCTATTTGTGTATCATAGATCCACGCACGGGTGAGGAGGTCTGGCGCAGTCCAGAGCCTAATCAAGATAATGTTCTACCGGACTTGCGTCAATTTCTGCGTGATCATCGTGGCTTTTCTCTCGAGGAAGCAAGCTCCTCAAAACGCACATCCATACAAATCGATGATGATGATGATCAAGAAGACATTGCCTCGTGCTCTTCCTCAACCGGTAGCATACCCAAGAAACGAGCCAAGCTGCTGGAGCTAACCGAGGAGGAGCAACTGGCCCTGGCCATCAAGAACTCCATGAATGAAAACGGTGGAGCTGCTGAAACTACTACAAATGCGACCAATAACAACAACAACGCCAATGCCAGTGACTGTGAGAGCTTGGAGGAGTTTGACGAGGATGAACTCAAGGGCGCCGCAATCTCTTACGATGCTCAACTGGGCTCTCAGACAGAAGAACTAACTGCATTGAAGTTGCGTCTACTCGACGCCGCCGGCGGCGAAGAGGTCATCCAACTGAGATGGCCCTCCGATACCAAGTTAAAGACACTACGTCTCTATATACGACAAACGCACAAGCACATACCATTGGAGGGCTACAAGCTGATCTGTGCCTTTCCGCGCAAGTCTCTCGAAGCGGAGCACAATGAGGCCACATTGAAAGAGCTTGGCCTGCATCCCTCCGCTAATGTACATCTCACGCTGGACGAGTAACTGTTTATATCAGCGCATTGCTAGAGTATTTATTTCACGTTATTTGTCTTATCCTTCTACTCTACACATGAATTAAATATCTATATACATAATAAAAACAAAACAAAAAACAAACTTTAACTATCATTCTTTCTGTTTTGTCTTTCTCAAATGCGCACTCCTCTCTTTCATTTAATTATTATTCGCTAGATCGCTGTAGAAGAGCGAGATTTAATTTAAATAAAACCTAAGTTGGCTTGCCCTCAGCCAATGAAACTAATCAAATTATATACTACGATAATAAAGATATAAGAATTCAAATTACGCGCCAGCAAAAAAAAGTTTGGTAACACTGCATGGATTCTGCGATTTGTAAATGGCAGCGCGAAAACAGCTGATTTCGGACAAAATATGTGGCAAGGGCAGGTGTGCGCTACGCAAGGCATTTAAGCTAATTCAATATACATAAATAGATCTTGTATACAATACATTAATTTATTATTATTTTAATTTAAAATTATATTCTGATGCTAGTGTAACCCAACGGATCGCTAAATATAATACCTAAATTGGCAGCTCATCTCTGACAGTAGCGCATAGATAGAGCGCACGAACTCTATAGTTTAGCAATTTCAACTCATTAAATACCGTGTAATCCCAAACAGCAAATCGGCCACGTAAAAACTAAACGCCAACGACAACGCCAACGTACGCAAGTAAAGGAATACAAAGCTGATTGTAAATAAAAAGGAACCGAATTAAAGTTTTGTACTGCTGTGATAATAGAAATGCTCAAGCGACAAGCGCCACAACTGCGGAAATTGAAATGCATGGCGTGAGGGGCGTTCAATATCAGCAGTAAACACTATAATCCATCTTCGACAGCTCCGTTATGGACGAGAAACTAAAGTATTCGCTGCTGCGCGGCGAACTTGTGGACACACAAAGTATTTGGAGCAGGCAAGTACTAGGTCATATTATCGAGTTTCCTTATTAAAATACTTATTTGCAGGAATGAAAAGCGCGTCTGGTTCATTACGCTTCTCACGGGCACTTGCATGCTGTATTCGACCCGCACGACGATGCCGCTGCTGGTGCCTGCCGTGGCAGCCGCACAAAAGTGGAGCAAAACCGATTCCGGCACAGTGCTCAGCTCCTTCTTCTGGGGCTACACGCTGACCCAGGTAATGGGCGGCTACTTCAGCGATCGTTACGGTGGGCAGCGTGTTATATTGTTTGCTGCCATTGGATGGTCCATCATCACATTTCTAATGCCCACGATTATCTGGTCGGCGGCGTCGGTCAAGAGCTATACGATACCAATAATTGTGACCATACGAATTCTTAACGGTGCGCTGCAGGGCGTGCACTTTCCAAGCATGATCAGCTTGACTAGTCAGGTAAAAGTTTACACTTGAAAGCTTTATCTTTATATATATTTGATATGGTTTCTGTTTGCAGAATCTTTGTCAAAGTGAGCGCAGCAGCTTCTTTGGTCTGCTCACCTCTGGATCGGCCATGGGCACGCTCTTAACCGGCATCTTGGGCTCCTTTGTGCTGGACTACTTTGGCTGGTCGTATGTGTTTCGTGTGATCGGCTTAATGGGGTTCGCCTGGGCTCTGGTATTGCGATATTATGCCATGGCTGGGGAACGCAATCGAATCATCAATATCTCGACACCGGCGCGCCTCTGCGGCAATAAGGCGCTCACGGAGGCGTCTGTGCCCTGGCTGCGTTTCTTCAGCCGGTTGTCGTTCTGGGCCTGTGTGCTGACGCACGCCTGCGAGATGAACTGTTTTTTTGTGCTGCTCTCATGGCTGCCAACATATTTCCACGATGGGTTCCCCCATGCCAAGGGATGGGTGGTCAACATGATACCTTGGCTGGCTTTGCCGCCGTGCACCTTCTTCGCCAAGTACTTGACCACACGGCTCATAGCCCGGGAGTGGTCTACGACAACAGTGCGGAAGTTAATTCAAAGCTGTTGCTTTGCCTCGCAAAACGTAGCTCTGTTTGTGATGAGCCGCACTACGGACTTCCATACGGCTCTAATCTGTATGACCATTATTATTGGCGGCACAGGCTTCCACAACAACGCGGTGACTGTGAATCCTCAAGATTTAGCGCCCTTGCATTCCGGCAGCGTCTTTGGCCTGATGAACACAGTGGGTGCCATACCTGGATTCCTTGGCGTGTACCTGGCTGGACACATCTTGGAGCTGACACAGAGCTGGCCAATGGTCTTTAGTGCGGCGGCTGGCATTAACTTGATCGGCTGGATCATATTCCTGATCTTTGGATCCGCTGAGGCGATTGTTTAGTAACGATTCCATAACGTTCTCATGACGACTTCCATTTGGGGAAAAATATTTATTAAAATGTGTAAATAGGTTAAGAGATCATAGCTCAAAATCGGTCAACAAACTGATCCTACAGTTCTAAGTGCAAAAACACAAATTATATGACGCAAACTAATGATAAGCTATACATATATCATTTACTTCTCGACTAAAGCTAAATTCATTATCTCAGGTAAAGTCTTCCTGGTTTTGATCATTCGATCTTCAGTATTTTTTAATGAGCTTATATTAAATTTGGTATGAATTAGTAAATGATGTCTTGTAAAAATAATTGAGCTGTGTCAGATTTTCAAAAAGTAACAGCTGCTTTTCCTTTAGGTGCCATATGATAGTTAGTATATTTCTTTGGTATTTTCAAACTGTAGGAATTTGTTTATTATGGTGGTGTGGCAACGCTGATATGTTGCATGGAAATGTCGACCCTCGCATTTTGATATTTCAAATAATAGATTCATCAATATGTCGGGCCGGCGTAAGGATATGTGGAAATTGTTGTACAATTTGGTGAATCGCAACCAAAACAATTTGTCCGCTGTATATAATGTTGTTGACGACATTCTCTGTCAGGATCCAAGTCTCATCAGCTGCTCATCTGGGATCGAATTAAAAAACGAGTTTCAGGATGTTTTTCTGCTATGGCTACTAAACAAACTGTCGGTTTGCTTAAGCGAGTGTACGGATGAGGGGTAAGTGCATAGAACCCTTTTCTCTATATATGTATTAATTGATCAATTCAGACAGTGTCTGAAAAATGTGCAGCTGCAGCAGAAGCTTTTGTTATCCTGCTGGCGCAACCATCCGAAACTCTTCGGGCGTCTCGTGGAGGCCTACGGGGAGGCGCTACAGCAGCTCTATGACAAGATGAGCGCCTTCGACTACACTAGTCCCGACAAGAACTGTAAAGAATTGCGCACTTTGCATTTGCACATTTTTCGCTGCGACTCCAGTGTCCTGCAGGAGTTCGATGATCAGTGTGCATTCCAAGTGATTAAGATGCAACTGGACAAATCGGACGCTTATGCCAAGTATCTGCTGCTAGTTCTGCAACAGGCACATCATATCGGACATGCCACGCACACTGACCAGTTCGACGAAAGCCTGCATCAGGCTCTGCTGACGCTCAAAGAGTGCAACATGGACACCAAGCTGACATGTCTGAGCTACTGTCATTCTGTGCTCAAAGCACACACCACAATCAGTTGGGCGAACAGCGCAGCTGTGGCTCATTATGCAGCCCTCACGCTGCGCGCTCTGGTTCTAATGTGGTCCCTTGTCGACCGCTGGAAAGACAACTGCATGACGCACGCGCAACTGGAGCGGCTGGTCACGCACACCGAGCAACTGCTGCTAGTGTTTTCAAGGCAAAAGATGTCAAATCCTGATTGCCTTGAGTTAAGTTGCCAAATGCTGCATGAAGTGCTGTTTCAGCCGGCCAGCAGTTGGCGTTGCCGCCTGCTCCAGGCTCTCTGCGATTATATGCAAGAGCAGCTGAAGGAGGCAAGCTCAGTGCTGCCTCCGCACACCTGCCAACTCTTGTTTCGTCAGTGGCGTGGCAATCCTGAACCTCTACTGTCCTTACTCGCTGCAGTTGCTGCCAAGCAGCCCGCAATTAGAGATAAAATGTCGTTGATGCTCAGCCAGAGTCTTGCTCGACTGCTGGCCCCGCCGACGACCGAGAAGCTGCCCGAACTGTTGGGTGTGCTGCGAGGGCTCAAGCATATGGAGCAGCTGCTGCTGATCGCCAATCAGCAGGAGCTCGTGGCTGCCAGTGATGAGGCACTTAACGCTGAGCTGCTCGCCCAACTGCCGCAGCATCACGAGCTCGCGCTACACACCGAAGGAAACTGCAATTGGAATGTAATGAGTGCACAGCTCTTGGAGGATTCTATGTGCGTGGCCTGTCCGGAGTTCATGGAGATCTGCGCTCTGCTGCTGCACTGCACCTGCCTGCGTCTGCAATTGAAGCCACATACGCAGCAGCAGCTGCTATGCGTGCTGCAGCGGGCACTGCAGTCATCGGATCAGGAGAAGAAAACTCAGTCCTTGCTTGCTTTGGCCACGCTCCGCCTTGAGATCCCATCCAGTGCTCACACCCAGCTGCAGAGCTTCTTTGCACAGAAGTGTCTGACGCTGCTCAACGCCGAGCAAGCGGACATAGTGCAGCTCCTCTGCGAGCACCTGCCTCAGCTGTATGTGGCAGGCTACATCAAATCCGGTCACCTGCAGCAAATGTTGCCCAAGCTGAAGCCCACCGAAGACGGCAACACGCTGGCCGCTGTGCTGCGTCTGTTGCTGTGCACCCAGCAGCCAGAGACGGCGCATGTCTTCAAGGCGGAGAATGGGAAGATCATACTATGCTGCTCCAAGTGCGAGGAGCTGCCTGCCACATTACCTGGTTTATATTTGGGCATGTGCAAGCCGAGCACCGCAGTTGCCAAGTCCTTCAGCAGCTCTAGCTTGAATGTGTTTGGAGAGGCTATGCTATTCAAGTCGAAGTGCGCTTATATTACCCATCACTTGGATTTGATCCATCTGGAGCCCTCGGTCTGTCTGAGCTTGCTTAGGAATGCCCCCGATTTGCAGGCACTCAATGAGCGCAGCTTCGAACGCCTTGTGCCCGTGCTGGCAGCTCAATCCCCGGACTTCATGCAGGAGCTGGCAAGCCTTGTGCTCGGCTGGATTGTGAATATGTTAGCGAAGCCTCTGGAGGCGCAGAGCGAGGCTCAGCAGCAAAAACTGTTGCGTCTGATCGTGTGCGCAGCTCATCCGAAGATCGA